GAAAATTGAAGATATATTCGTTTTGTCGAAACCTTTGGCAATACGCAGAAGAAAATTTTAGAGATTCCTATACACAAATGATTTAAGTTCCGAATTTGCCTAAGTAGGTTTGTCCGTCCGTGTGAGAATGTACGGGAAACATGAGATGTTAAAAATGGTTCAGATCGGTCAAGGTAGTACACATCTACAGTACAAGGTAAATCGGAAAGCAAAAGTTTTTGGTTTTCTTTTTTTTTTCTTCTTTTGCTTATTAGTCATAAACAGCAAAACCGTAATAACAATAAGCCTTTTGTCGTCGATTCAATAAATGATCTTAAACGAAAGCGGCAAAAATCTTTCATCCAATATTATAAGGTGTCGGCCGGTATTTGTCTTTTTCATTTAACATAATTTTCTTACTTATTATATTGACTAATTGGTTGCTTATTTGCATGTAGGCTTATAATAAAGAAGGTCGGTCCACATATATGTTAAAAAAAAAAAAAAAAAGAAGGTTTAAAGGTCAATATCCATATTTCATATAATATTCAATGTGTTTACAGTTTCCATGACTAGAACGAATTGTGGAAAGTGTTATCATAAGTAGCAAGAAGAAAAACTAAAAACAAGGAAATAATTATATACGACCTACAAACAGCGAATTTTTCGTTTCGTACCCCCATCGCATTTGCTTGCTTTTGTGTTATTCATTAACAAATCGAATGAATAAAAAATCAAAATTCAAGTAAATATGAGTCATGTTCTTCGAAAAGATCACAGAAATTGCTAACGAACCAGGCGGCGGTGATGCTGTCAATATATTTTCAGGCGTCAGAAATAGTACGATAAAGTTAGCATTTCTCTCACATGCTTCAGCGATAAGATGGTATATTTAAAAGCTTTTAATATAACTTTGCAAGAAATTTTTGATACCCGAATATAGTCGAGCTAACGGAAAGACTTGCGACATTCAAAAAAAAAAAAAATTTATAAAATTACAATCCGTAAGCGACTCGGTTTAAACTATTAGGTAGTTCAGAAAATTTCTTCCGTAATAAAGTAAGAAATGAACTTTGAATGTTCTCGATGAATTAAGTTCTTCTACAATCTTACCAATCGTTATGTGTCGATGGAAACCGTAACCCTAACCCTAACCTTGTTTACGAAATAAACATAACCATACATACCTCTAACCCTAATTATCTATCTAGATAGCTGAAAAAAATTGTTGTTTTAACCTAATCGCAAGAAATTCCCAGACTATCTACTACTTTTTATCGACTTAAATCTTAGGATACAATAACTAAAGCTTATTTCTTATGGAAACCTTTATAGGGAAATCGTTTCGAGAAATAGATCTATGTGATGCAAGCTCGGTATAGCGCTCTTCTATTTAATCACTGTTTTGAAGTAGAGCGTTATATAAGGAATGATCTAAATTATGTCAGTGTATTTCACCACTATCATCGCCCTATAGTTCAGGCACAAGAGTACATGGACATATAATAATAAAATGTTTATCTATCTCAAGTTCGTTTGGGCATTTGGTACATCCCTGACGTCATGTGCAAATTTAATTTATAATGCCTCTGCCTTATCGCGGCTAAATCTTTTCATTTCCAATTCTTGGTTTAATATCATTAGATATTGTGATGATGATGCCGTTGTATTAGAGTAATTTAAAATACACTACACCCAACTGATCTCTTTCAATGAGACTGTCACGGATATTCGGTTTTACTGTCGAAATTACTGGTTCATTCTTCATAATCATAGTTTTTGACGATCCCGTTATTATATCGTGTCCGCATTTTATTGCTCATCAACATTCAATAACACTGTCTTTCAGATTAAGAACGAAACGTAACTGTACCCATTGAAAATTTCCCAAAAATTGTGCTGAACATTTGTTAATAAAAAGTGAAGCGCACTAAAAGCTGAAACCTTATAATAATGCTTTAACATGAGCGTAGTGAAAGTAGATTATAGTCGAATGCAATTTAATACTAATAATAATCGTACTTCTATTGCAAATCCTTTAATAGATTATGAAAGGTAAAGTATTTATTTACATAACTAACTTTGCTTCCAAGTTAGTTAGTGCCGTATGTATGTTGCCATCATAACGTACCTAAAGCATATTTTATAGATAAGATCATCGAAGACTTTTATACTTAACCTAACTTATTCGCTGAAAAAAAAAAAAAACACAAAGGATTTCCGTTCATGTTTAAGGTTTTTGTTGTGGGAAGACTGATGCATCGATCAGATCGACGACAAGAGACCAATTACATTTTCTTTTCTTTTACGCAAAATTTTGCACTTGCAAGTTTAATTGTAATAAATGGACGGATAGGCGAACATAACCGTTCACGCCTGCAACTAACAAGCATTTCTCTTTGCGACCGTTTAAATACACAATTAGAAACCTTTCCAAATAGTAACTTACTTTGTTATTGCGAATAGAACAAAAGAGAATTCTAAAGTAATTTTATTTACTGGCTGGCTGGCGTTATGTTCCCATTAAACCAAGTGCAAGCAAATTTAATCAAATATGATAAAAAGCAAAAAATGGATAAAAAAAAAAAAAAAAAAACAAATAAATAAAAGCGCAACAACATAATATGATAAGTAATTGCAATCAAAGCACAAATACATGCAAAAATCTTAATGAGCTCAACAATAAATCATAATAAAATTGGAGAAAATACATAATGAAAAATGACAATATTAACCGTACAAAAAAAAAATAATAAAAATAGAAGATGATCGTTATCTTAATCGTGATCATGACCCTCATGAAATGCATATGATGAATACGTGTATGGCATGTAATTACGTATAAATTGTAAAATCTCTTCATACACAAGTGCTCAATAATTACAAATGTTTTAAAAATTTTAAGAGTAATTGCAAATTTCTGGATGATGTAAACCTGCCGATAAGTAGTAAAAGTTTAAATGAGTAATAAATGACCGAACACGTTATGAAGGCATATGAATAAACGATAGGCATATATTGTTTCATTTCTTTGAATTTAGAGAATACAAAGCGCATTTGCCCGCTGTCTTTATAGGTAGGGCCTAAGAATTCCTCAAGCTTTTCTTCACTTTGCCGCTTCCTCAACTTAGCTTCATTTAATTTTTTGCAATTTTTGCATTTTTTTTCTTTCGTAAAGCTTACCGTTAAATAAAAATGTATGTTACATGAAATGTCCTTGTTTTTTTTATTATTGCCTGTTGTTTGTGTTGTTGTTATTCGTTGCTGATAAGGGAATTTTCGTGATATTATTACTATTATTATTGAATATATATAACAATCATCTCCGTACGCTACTGGCTGCTGCAGTCTCTCTTTCCTCATTCCCATTCCATTATAACGTTTTAATCATCAGTTGGTAGGTAAGTGACTAGAGTTGTGTGTTGTCGAGGCATTAAAAGATTCTTCAACGTTTAAGTTGGTGGTGTCACCGTAAAATTTCGGTTGATCGTGTTGTTGTTCGGTTCCGGCACTTGTACCCTCATCATCAGAATCATCATCCCCTGAACTGTCGTTGCTAAGCTTAAGAGCATTAACGTTGGAGTTCTCATGATTGGGTGATGTTTTGGACGTGTCCACTTTAAGAGCTTTGCTAAGACGTTCATAGCAGGTGCTACAAACACGCACTGGCTTCGAGCTTTGTTGTGGTAAAAGAAATTTTTTAGCCGAACATGGTCCGCACACTACCGCCCCACAATTACGGCAATGATGACGACGCACTATCATTGTAAATTGGGTTTTTTTGCAATGCATGCATACGGTAGCCTCGGCATCGGGTACCCAAACGGCAGCATGATTTTCAACCGGTTTTTTACCCGATTTACGCAATAAATCCTCTACGCACTTGTTGATATGGGCCATCCATTCTTGTTTTTCGGTAGCAGTTGCCGCATATACCACAAATGATTTAGTGGTTGTTCGTATAAGCCAACCATTACGATATTGGCTGCAATCCTCAATATCATCCAATGACACCTCTTCCAAAGGCATTATGTGTTGTTTATTGTATTTCTTTTTACCAATAACAATATTGCCGTAAACCAAGATGTCATTAAATAAAAAAAATTGTCTCGATTTCGGACGTTTACGGCACATTTTTGTTAAAACACCCTCACCAACCAAAACACGACCGGATATCGCTAGTGGTACACCTGAGCTGCCAAAACAACTCTCCACCAAAGCTATACGCCTGGTATTCGCCTCCGAATTCACCAAACGATCAACCATTTTTCATAAAATTCTTTCACACTTTTCTTTACGACACCAATCAAACGTACCCAGCGCAGTTAACCAGGTGTTTGCTTTATGAATAAATTCAAAGCGAAAGAGGAAAGTAGGCGTTAGGCAGGTTACTTTTTTTTATTTTTATTGCTGTTCGTTAATTACGTTCAACACTCAATCTCACGTATATGTGTTCACTACTGCGGAACGGAAATGACTGCACTGCAGACGTCTGGTTTATTTCTTTTGTTTTACTTATTGGATTTTTCTTTATTTTGCCTTTGTTTCATTTTTTTGCAACACTTTCTTTAAGTTAAGCAAAAAGTTGCTTATTTTTCAACTATACGTTCAAATTTTATATGTGTGTATACATATATATATATATATATATATATATATATGTATAGCATATGTGCTTATGTGACTTTCTAGACTTTTATAATACAACCACACGATAAAATAAAAAAATTGTGTATATATATATATATATATATCTATACATATAAAAATTATTTATAAATTTTTTCTATCAACTGTTTGCAACAAATTGACGTCGTTAAAATAATCACAAAAATTGCTGTGCCTATTCTCTTTCTATACTCTTATTAACCCAGAGATGCCAACATTACAAATTTTCTCAAAGTTGTAATAAAATGTATTATCAAAAATGTTAAAGAGGAAGACAAAGAGTAACAACAGAGAAATGGATTGCTTTTTGTCCATGTGATTCTTAATACAGAGCTTGTATATGAACGTTTTACCTGGATTTGTTTTTCTTTAAAATTTTGTTTTAAAGCTTCATTATATTGTTTACGCTCCTGTAAGCGCCGTTCCATAGGAAGATTAAACGGACGCTGCTCATTCGTCGTATGTTTTCTTTCGGGAAAAAAAGGCTTTACTTTTAACACGGAGGGTGGACGTGATTCAAATTTTGGGACCTGTTCTTTCTGTTTTAATTCTGCTGGCTGAAATATATTCATCTCCTCTTCGAAACTAATTTTTAAAAAATACGCGATCATAAATACCTTCTTTTCACTCCTTTGTTTAATTGAACGTGAATGTTTAAGAACTTCCGGGGTAATAGGGACGGTTATAGTGTGAACAACCATTTGCTTTTCTAATTTCTCGTGATAATAATTAAAATTTGGCATTGGCTTGGGATGAAAAACGCGTTTACTTCGCTCTTCCTCAGCTCGCAATCGTTCGGCCTCTTCCTTTTTCTTTTTGTAATAATCAATCACTTTGTACGCTTTTGGCGTTCGCGGTGTATTTTTAGGTATCGCACCTTTCGACGCAGTTACCATCTTTTTTTTATCCGTCCACATTTGAACTAGATTCACAGCGGATTCCTTCTTGACTTCGAGATTTTCTTCGTTCCCGCTGGTTGATATTTTTGCATCTTGTTCCTTGTGAGATGAATCGTTTAGCTTTACCTTTTCTATGAGTTCGAAAGGTATTTAAAGCTAACTAAATAAGTTCAGAGGCTCTAGCCTACAACTTACCAGACTCTTCATTATGTAACTTAAGTCCATCTTGCTTGCTCCGCAATTTATGTTTTGAACCTGTTGTATACGTATTTAATAAAGTTTTTTTTTTATCTTTGCACAATCCGTACACATACCAAAAAAATTCTCGGAATGATCTAAGTAATGATTGCCAACGTTTATATCATCCCAATCGAAGGTGTTTTCGCATTTTATATTTATGTTTTCCATGATGCGAATAACAAATGCAATTTTCTACGACCAAAACAAAATCTCTAATTCGCCAATAAAACTTGCGCGGCAGTTGATTCAAAATTTTTATATCAGATTGTAAATATGTAGTTAAAATAATATGTTAAACCGAGTTACAAACACAATTAACATTTGCATGACAAAGAACATAACAGGATGTCCTCGATGCTAATTAATCTGATGAAAAATGGCGCGATTTAATTTAAGAATTTATGTGACCACTTTAAAGTAAATGTTGGCAGTTTTCGATACGTGAGAATTGACAATGCATAAAAATGCATTTCCATTGCAGTTAGAGAACTGGCCACAATAATTTATTCAAATCGAACACTCAGTAAAATTCGATAAATAGTCTGTGTGTCTTAAGACAGTTCTTTTTATCGAACGTTCGAGACATTTTAGGGGTGAAGTATTTTTTAAAAATTTATTTATTTATTAGTTTTTGAGTGAGATCACATGTTAAAGCTTATAAAGCATATTGGCAGCGCTTAAATAAAATTTGGGCGAGGATGAAGAAATAAGCAATAATGAACAACCATTTGTTGTCTATTCCAAGGCTGTGTAGAGAGCACCTAAAAAGTTCAGCATTATTATCTTCAGAAAGAAAAAAAAGCTGGCTTCCAAGTCTAGAATGTTAAAAAATTAGATTGTTACAGATAAAATAATAATAAAAGAATATATTGATATTATTGAAATCTCAACTTAGCAAAATGGCTTTATTTTTTAGTTGATTGAAAATTATATTATTCCTTAATCAATTTGAATTATATTCGTACTGCTCAAAGAAATTCGTAATTTTTTTGACAATTTTTTGATCTGTATTGCCATGTCTTATTAATATTTGCATAATCTTATACATACGTTTTGTGGAACCTAAAGAACTGATATGTTGGTAATAAATCTAATTACCCTGCCTTATGTTTTTGGTTAATTCTAGTAAATGTTAATTTGAAATATTAGATTAGTACTTTATGTAGAATATACATTTGAAAGTTTCAATAAATCGATAGCATCTATTTTTAACACTGCGACCATAAACCAAGAATATATAAATGATAAGGTTCGGGATTCTATCGGGCGCATATGGTTTAAACAAGGTTGAATCTGAATTTATTTATAAATAAGTACACATTGACAGAAAATGCTTATTGTAGAGGCGACTTGCAAAAGCCTTGAAAAAAAAAAAAAACTAAATAAAAATTGATTACACTTTCCGGTACAAGCAGCTAGTAGGTCTACTAAATAACATAATAATCGGCGCTTGCAATGACACTTTAAAATAAATTGATACAGTTAATGAATGCATATTCGAAGTGTAGGGCTTCGTTAAATAAGCAAGGACGACATATTTTAAGCGCCAAAATGGATAACATACGTACAACGTTTGTTAGGCCCCTTATCATAATTATGATAAGCAACATATGGTTTCTATTTACAAACAATAACCTTGTACTGCTTATGGCGGCTTTTCTCTCTTTCGGCACACGGTAAGAGATTTGCAATAACATTTACTTTCTCCCTCTCGTGAGATGAGAGATGCACTCGAGTCCTTCATATTTAAGGAATTTTTTTTTCATGTAAAATAGCACAAAAACAACTAAGCTTAAATTCACTTTACTGTTGTAGTTGTAAGGATTAAATAATTTTTAATAATTTCATTTTTAAATTATTAACTTGTATTTCTATTATTTCGTAATGTAACTTGTTTTTTTAAGTATGCAGCAAAAAAATGCAACAACAAAAGTCACAATTTTTTCTCAAACAAATTTTACTCCCAGGAATTGAATTTTATTATTCTCAGCATTATCTTCTGGGCGTGCATAAGAAAAGCACATTAAAGTCAATTTTACTCTCCGACAAGAATTTCATATTCCCAGCATTGTTTTCAGTGCCTGCATATGAAATGTACAGCAAAGTCAATTTTACTCTCAGAATAGAATTGCATATTCTCAGCATTGTTTTCAGGGCCTGCATATGAAATGTACAGCAAAGTCAATTTTACT